CACTGCTATCATCGGGTTCAGTCTGGTACTGGCTTGGCACTGGAGAGGAAGAACATGTGACAGTGGATGGAGAAAAACTCAAGTATGCTGTAGACATAAACCCCTTAAACACTGAGGCTCACATGGGGAAACTTCAGTTGCTTGTAACTCACATAAAACTCAGTATCAACTGTGTTAAACAAGCCTTACGAAACAGCCAATCAAAATGCAGAAAAAGTACTGCGAACCACAACACATTCAGTATAGAGATTCGATTTTATTACAATGGCAGTTTCTTCCATTGTACGCCACTGAAATGTATATGATAACTGTTGTGCTATGAATCTAATTATCATCTATGAAACATGCATTGTGATGTCATTGGTATGCCAGTGGCGGTATTGGTGTACTGTGCCCCCACAGGCCCTGCCAGTGTTTCAACTATCTGAATTCATTCAACACATTAAGGACAGGAACATAAACCAGAAAATGATCTGTTGGAATAATGTAGCTTTTTGGTGGTAACCAGTTTCATGTTACGTCAGACAAACTGCATATTAAAGCTACACAATGGCTCAATCCCATTTCACCCCTCGCACCTACTACTTAGCCCTTACTCCTCAGTTTTGCACATTTACGCCTTGGGGTAGGGTGTCCTGACTTTGGTTGAGATAGAGGGGTAGGGTGAAGTGTCAGGGCTACAAGGCCCTGCAAACAGAGGTTTTTCAGAGTCACACTCCAAAGAGTGTTATGAGAAAAAAAGAAAAATCGGCAAGATGGCTGCACAAGTGACCAAAGAAACCCACAAATGTGAGAATTTTTGTCTGAACAAAAAAAACAATAACTATCGTATTATCTTAGTTTCATGCTGTTTCAATGTATTACAGTCCTTTTTTTCATAACAAGCATAATAAAATTGCTTGTAGTATGGTGATGTCTTCGTAGCTAGCTAGCTAAATTTCCCACTCCACCTTAAACCATTTAAGGTGGAATGAGGAAATTGAACAAGAAGCTGGCGAATACCTGACTTTAGCTTCTTATCACTGAAGAATTAGAGGTGGCCGATAATAAATAATTGCTGCACCCCCCTCTTTGAAGGTATATGATTCCCTAAATTTAACTAAAGACCACCAGTGAGGTTGCTGAACTTTACCCTCCTCTGCTATCACTGCAGACTGGCAAGGTTACCTACAAAGCACTGCTAAGGAGACTGTTTTTTAAGGGTTGTTCCATTTCATAGGGAAGATTTCAACCACTACCCCTTGTATCTCAGTTCCAAGGGGCAAGATGACACTCAAAAACAAGGGGTAGGGGTAAAAATTACAAATGGGATTGGGCCAGTATCTCTTTTGCCAGTTGTTATGGTGATATTGGCTTTTTTGCAATACTGATGTGACAGAATGCTCCAATATGCAAATTAGTCTCTAAATAATCATAATATTTTTACTGTATGATGTGAACATTTGATGATTTTCATTTAAACAAAAAGCAATTATTTTGGTCAACATAATGCTAGCCAATCTCACATCGCTGATTCACCAAAGCATTTTTAATATATTGCAAGGCATATTGCTAAACGTAGCAATATAAAGACAATACTGTTATCTTATCTACATTGTGAGCCTTACATTACACCTTGTACTAACAGCAAGTGAGCATAACAACACAAAGCTTTTAGGCTGTTTACAATGGAAATGCAAAGTATGCATGTCAATTTAAAACCAGCTAATAGCTTAAAGATAAGCTATAAAATTGGCGGTTATATGTCTATTTTCAAAGAATGTACATTTTTAAATATAGGATATTTTTAGCTACACATTTTACAATTATTTAACAAATTCAAGTGTAACACTGGTAAACGCTTATTTGATTAACCAACTTAACCTTCATAGGTTACCAATAATGACAGAGCTAACTTGACCAGATAATGGAGTAGAGGAAGGGCTATAAAACTTCCTTCTTTTCCTCATTACTTAGTTTGTCTTTATCCTTTGTTGTCGTAGAGGCTCTCGGCTGGTGTTTACAGCTTTGTTTGTTATAATGGGAGCGTTCTGTTCTTCTTGTTGTTGATCACTGCACTTGCTGTCAGCACAAGGTGTTAGGTTCATAGTAGTTAGCAAACAACTCAAAGTATACTACTGTTCAGAATGTTTGAAATCACTGTTTATCTTAATATCAGTCTAATCTGCTAAAGATGCACACAAATTATATTAAGATGCAAAATTATATTAGGATTCAATGACTCCAGAAAAAATGTATAATTTGAGGAACTGTGTAATTTGGGAATTTAATTATAAGAAAAAGACACCCACTGCCTTGTATTTGAAAGGTGGTGATCAAATCTTGAGGCGGATAACTTCATGAAATGACTATAAATGCATAATTACAGTATGTGATTTATCATTGTGTAACTCCTTGGTGTTCTCATAAAAAAAAAAATGTGAAAACAGCTTCCGGTATCTAGCTTATCATTTCGATCTAAACTATATAAGTTATTACGGAACAAAATAACAGCAATTATTAATGTAACAAGTGATCCCAAACTTTTGAACAGTAGTGTAGATACTGAATAGTAAGTCCTAAGATTAATAACCAAATAAAAAGCCTCGGTTTTAAGGGGTTAAATGTGTCGACATAAGACAGTTTACATGTTAAATGAATAGAAAAGAGTAGACTGTGTACTGATCAACTGTAACTGATGGTCGAGTAGATGACGTGGCAAGCAAAGCCAAAAAAATAAATAAATAAATAAAAAATTGTACTATGATGCTAAAGCTGGTACCCAGTTTAGATCATCAAATCAAGCAGATTGTCCAGTTTCTGGTTCTATTCTACCACTTGGATTAAAAATTCTAAAATACGATATGGATCAAAAATTCCAAATCCCAAAAGCCTGGCAGTTCTAACTGAAGAAAAGACAGAAAAAATACGCAATCACATTTTTAAAAAAGAAAGTTTGTCTAGATTGTGTTGTTATTTTTGCCACATTTTTGCCACGCTTTCAAATCTGGAATGCTTTAATTCTTTATTTTCATGCATGTTGAATAATTTATATATATATATATATATATATATATATATATATATATATATATATATATATGCATATAATGTTTTGTGCACGATTTTTGCCTAAATAACAACATGCAGCCAATCAGCTCCTACTTTACAACCACAGCATCCAATCAGCTCCTAAATTGCAGCCTGTACCAGATATGTAAACACAGTAAACGCAGTTCCAATTAATATTATGCTGATTACTAACGTAACATTTTAATGAGGGTGTTGCTGTGATTTGAACCGTAGCACATAGAAACGAACTGTAATTACAGACATTTTAACAGTTTAAACATGTATATAATTACTAAGAGTTTAATTTGCAAGAAAATATTTAAAATAAAACCAGATTGAAAAGGTTACCTAAACAATGCAAGAAACGTTTGATGATTGTGCTAAATTTCAGCTGATTCAACGTGTGTAAAGATTGTAACCCGACAAGTAGACTGTTTAGGCTCCTTATTCTCAGCTATATGTCATAAAAGCACATTCAGTTGTTAGAAAAATGTCAACTTGCTCTCTTTCTTAAATAACCTATGAATATTTACAAAATTCTTAATACGCTGCAAGATTACAGTGAAAGATCGATGGTAGATCAGAAAAAAATGTAAGAAGGAATAAAATCTAAAACAATAGTAAAAATATGATTTCGGCAAGTAGCACATATATAACCGTCATCGAACAACGTAATACTCTTTAACATGGCGTTATTCAGCAGCATGCGACATCACATGTGCATGACAGATATGCAAACACTTCATTTCACCTTAATTCATCAGTTAATTCTCACCTATAAAATCAATTTTGTGGTGTATTTCAAAGCCCCCATGGAAAGTGAACCTGCCGTTTGGTGAAAAATGTGAAAGGGAGAAAACTGGCACTGCTTTCTTTCTATTTAGCCCGACGTAAAACTTCAACAGTGTTAGATGTTTCTTCTTGAAAAAGCAACGTGAAATGTTTCTGAAATTACTTTGCATGTGCATTTGCAGGCCAAGCAGCATTAGCAGAGTTAGCGATGCTAGCATGCAAACATCCTTTACAGTGATTGCATCAACAAGAAGACAATGAATGTTGCATTAAAATGAAGTAATGCTTTCCATGGGCGTGGCACAGAGATGCATAAAAGCAAGCAAGACATCACCAATAAAGGTATGAATATTGCCATGTTGTTCAGCTATCTCGTCAGCTAATTAGCCATGTTTGCTTAGCAAAACACCAACTTTCTGCTCGACTATGTGATAGAAGATGGTTTGTGTTAGTAATGTGTAAGCTGCATTGATATGCCTGACTTCATTTAAAGGTGCCAAGTGAAGGGATTTCTACCGGAGATGCAAATTCTAAAGCTAGCATTGGCTAAACATACATTTAGCTTATGCTTTCTTGGCCTTGGCTTGCAACCAGACCAGTCAGGACGCAGATTACCCATGGTACTTTGCTAACTGATTAATCACTGTTGTTGGTGATTTTACATTGAAAACCTTGGTAGCCACAAGACCAGGCCTAATCTGATGCTACAGAAGACTAGCCTCTTGGTACAGAAAGCATCTGCCTTCAGCTGCAAGTCCGAAACTTTTGACTACACAGAGATTCTCTGCAGACAATCTCATCAAAGTGGCCTGGGGAACGTCGAAAGATCGCAAAATCAACAACAAAATATTCAAATAGAAGGCTGGCCTGCTGGTTCCTGACCCGCTATGTGCCTCCTGATTGGGAAGACTGCCATGGATTACATTATAAACTCCAGGAAGCACAGGTTTCTGCATCTGTTATGGGCTTTCATGGCAACCGTTGTGAGGAGACAGCAGGCGGTGAGATCTTGTTTGGTCAAAGCCCAGCAGCTTCAGCCAAGATGGCGTCCAAGAGCAAACATGGCTTACGATTTAGTGCCTGGAGCTAAATCCTTTCTAGACAAGATTACATGGTCGGTTTGGACTGTAAACACCCATATCAGACAGAGCTATTTCTTTTACATCATTAAGGTAAACTCTTTGACTGGCCTAAAACTGAAACAATGGACAGAAGAAGAAATCTTGTGAAAATCTACAACAGAAGAAAAGAGAAGATTCTTGGAGTTAAGAGAGGTTTGGATTAGGAGTTTGGGGACAACGCTAAGCATGAGGCGTTTGGGGTTGTGTAGGTAGAGTTACTCCTGTGACTGCCTCGTCCCTCCTTCATACGGTGTTGGTGAGGGAGGGGTGGACGAACTGCGGGTTGATGAAGGAGAAACCGGCGAACTCAGACTGGTCGATGTTGGCGATGACGAGCTCGTCTGGAGGGGTCAGCTGAGGCTGCGTACGCGTGAAGAACTTATCGAAGTTCTCCGCCCCCTTTCCACACTGCAGAGAGAGAGAGAAAGCGAGAGAGAGAGAAAGAGAGAGAGAGAGAGAGAAATGAGTATTCAATGTACTCAATGCAGAGATGCAGCATACACAATGGTAATCAGCTGAAGCACTGAAAAAGCTGCAAAATCTACTAAGCACAGACATTATGGCTCTTTTTATGCTTAGTTTTCAGCTAGCAAAGCCATATCAAACCAGTCAGTCATCCTGAACAGTGGACAGCAGATGACTAATATTTCTCTAGTATTTAATTTTTTCCCAGAAGTCCAGTTACATCATTTTTGTTGTTTAATGTATCCAAAACAGTGGTAATTCATTTTTATATGACCACTTTCCAACCTCTTGTCCCCAAATGCAGGCCTTTATGTATGTATGTACGTAATATTATCTCTGTTCTGATTGGCTGTCCTTTATTGTGTCTCGTTGAAAAGCAAGAAATGCTGAAATGTGGAACAAACTGTTAGGTTCAGACTGAAATCCTTGGTGATGTGGAAAACAATAAGCTTCAGCTGTTCCTATCAGATGTACAGATCTTTTGGAAGGCTGCAGTGATCCACTTGCTTCCTGACAGCCATGAACAGAACAACGTTTAATTGTTTTCCCACATCTTCCATCCCAATAACTCCTCTTACAGACTCTGCAGGAACAACATGCCACATCGCTTCAGTGTGAATGGGCGCAGCTAAACTGCATTAGGTTGATATGTAAACATGTTCAACACAGCCATGTTGCTTTCAAAACAGCTGTTTTTGCAGTATAGTTTCCATGTATGGACTGTATGCACTGTACTGTATATGTTTTTAAGCTTAAACACCAACAATGTTCACTACAACGCTGCAAAAAGCATTATATTTCCATTATACAACATTCTGACAACATTACTTCAGCTATTTTGGTTTCTCTCTGAAGCTCCTGCCAAGAAATAAGCCACAACACACCTCCCATCATCATCCTCAAGGCCAGAACTAAGACTTCATGCACATTCCAGATTATACGCTCTGTATAGTTTCACCTGGATTATAATTCAGCTATCACAGCTGTTTGATGTTTGAAAGCTGAGGCTCAGGTGTGATGGCCTACATCTACGTGAGAACGGTCAGGTTGCTCCCTGGTGATGTCATCATTGGCACCACTCCAGCTGAGTGCACCTGATAATAATTCATATTGAGGTCTTCTCCATCAAACAACCACTTTCCTAGAACGGGCCAACTTTTTAAAACCCGAACTCTGAAACTTAAATCTCAAAGACCAAAAGAGAAGACTTTGTCTTTACTATGACTGAAAAGTAGGAAAAATCAATAACACCCAACAGCACTATGGAACCAGTGAGCGCTAATGGAGGAAAATGAAGCCCTTTTTCCTCAGATTTACCAAACAATGGGCTACTCTATTCTATTTGTGAGAAGGACTACAGTGTAATGCTGCTGAAAGTGTTAGAACACTTAATTTGAATTTTAGTAACTACACTTATCAAAGTATCTGAAATTTGAAGTATGATTTTTTTTTCTCTCCAAAATCACAGGTTCTCTGTTTGAACACTATTGTGAATTCACACACAAGTGCACAAAAGAAATATCTCCACTACACCACGTTTGGGTAGAGTTTGAGTTGATCTCTTTATAGAACCCAGGCCTCCTTTCTGACATGTGCCTCTGACTCTACTTTAAGTTCACCTGCCGAGCTGCTAGAGCCCAAGTGGGACATGGTTAAAGGAACAAATGGTGTAGCTTGCTAATATCTTATTTTCTAGCTTCTGAGTGTTCAGCTGGATGACAACCAAAAACATGGAGGCCATAAAGCACAAATGAGGACATTTTTGGCTAATGGTGCAACAGAAAATCATTGGATCTTACAGATCATTGAACATTGCCAAAGTTTAGAGCTTTAATCAGCCTTGAAATCTTGATCTGAACCCAAATACAGCCTGAGTACATCTGAACCTGGCTTTAGACCAACATAATTCTGTCCACACCCTACTGGATATCAACAAATTGTCTGAACTCGACTGCAGTCAACAAAATGTTACCTGAACTTGATTATAGTTAACAAAATTCTGTTCGAATTTGATTGTAGTTAAAAATTCTGTCTGAACTTGACTTGGAGAGAAGAAAATTCTGTCTTATCCTTACAACAGCCCAACAAAATTTTGTCTAAACTCGACTGTAGACCAACAAAAGTCTTTGTGAATCTGACTGGACCCCAACAAATTCTGCCTGTACCTGACTGTAGTCAACTAAATTCTCTCTGAACCCTTCTGTAGTGAACAACATTTAGTCTGATCCCGACCGTAGCCCAACAAAATTCTGTCTAAACTCGACTGTAGCCTAACAAAATTCTGTCTGAACATGACTGTAGCCCAATAACATTCTGTCTGAACTCTATTGTATCCCAACAACATTCTGTTGGAACTGGACTGTAGCCCAACAAAATTCTGTTTCAACTCGACTGTAACCCAACAAAATTCTGTCTGGACTTGACTTCCGTCAACAAAGTTCTGTCTAAACTCGACTGTATCCCAACAAAATTCTGTCTAAACTCGACTTCCGTCAACAAAATTCTGTCTAAACTCGACTGTAGCCCAACAAAATTCTGTCTAAACTCGACTGTAGCCCAACAAAATTCTGTCTAAACTCGACTTCCGTCAACAAAATTCTGTCTAAACTCGACTGTAGCCCAACAAAATTCTGTCTAAACTCAAATGTAGCCCAACAAAATTCTGTCTAAACTCGACTTCCGTCAACAAAATTCTGTCTAAACTCGACTGTAGCCCAACAAAATTCTGTCTAAACTTGACTGTAGCCCAACAAAATTCTAGGGAGGAAGAAACTAGGGAGGACAATTTAAACAATGTAAATTATGTTCAAACCTGACCAAACCCAATGCAAACAGTTCAGCCTGTCGGGTTTGGACAAGTGTTTCAAGCTCTATTCCAGATGTCCATAATCAAGCCATCCGCCATGTCCTTGTGCATCAGTCTGGCGAGGTCATGGACACTGTCAGCGTCCTGCAGAAACTGATATCGATCTCTTTGTAGATCACACTGGCCGTAGATCAATAACCCACGTTCAGAGGAAAATAGATGGATACAAGTGACAGATAAAAGCCAGATCAGTTAGCAAAACTGCTGACAGTCGATAAAGCTTTCAGATGAGACGTATACAGAGAAAATATCAATACGTTCATCCACAAATTCATAAACAGTAATGGTACAACAACTGAGGAAAATATATAAGGTGTAATGAAAAAAAATTAAAAATAAATAATGAATAATAAATAGAATAATCTGATAGGATAGGTATTATTGTAAAGCTATGTATAATGCAATTATGGCATCATTATCTATATTATCAAACAGACTTTTGTGTTTGAAGTAGCACTTTGGTGAAATCTATACAGACAAAAACATCTTCTTTCTTTGATTACACCTGTATTCACACAAAGACATCTCTCTCTCTCCCCCCTATCTCTCTCTCTGCCTCTCTCTCTCTCTCTCTCTCTCTCTCTCAGACAAAGACTTTTTTGTTAAATGAAGGAATGAAATGCTAAAGCATGAGCTTGTAAAGAGAGAAAGCGAGTGAGCGGGAGAGAAGGATAGAGGGAGCGAGTGAGTGAAAGACACAGAAGAAGAGAATAACGGAGATGGCTTTTCCTTTGTGAAGCTGCCAGGCTGTATAAGAAGTGGATCTGGAGACGAGACAGAAATAGCCCCTGCTCTCTTCCTCTCCGCATCCATGACAACAGAAGGGAAGAGTTCTCAATGAAAGAGAGCCCGGCACAAAGCCTCGGAGCGGCACTCGTTTATAAAAGCCCCGCCTGGGTGTGCTAGCGATTCTTTTTTTGTCTGTTCTTATGACAAATTTGTTGCCGTTTGTTGAATACAAAGTGCTTCAGAGATCCATTCTCTCCCTGTGAGACCCTCAAACGGCTCAGACCCACCTGACTGAGTGTATGTTTAACTCTTAGAAGTTTAGTTTTGCTACATTATTTTAAAATACATAATTACTTGCATAGTTTCACACTGAATTTTATCTGCATTCTGCACTTTTGGCTTTTTTCTATTTGTTTCAACGTCAAAAAAGACAAAAAAACATGGCAAATGGTCTGCAAAACGAGACTGTACCAGGGGCATAACTGTAGGGGGACAAGGGGGGCCTAAACCTCCTCAACTGAATGCCAGGCTACCTGAGATTATAAATCCTAAAAAGTAAAAAAAATGCCAATAATATTGTTTCAAAATGTACTTGGTCATGTACAGTCGTGTGCAAAAGTTGGGCACGCTGCTTAAATAATCTGTTTTGTTGATTTTCTCAGAGAAAATAAGGGCTTTTTCACGCTTGTCCTCAAAACGTCCCCATCCAAGATCGAATCTGGGCTCATTATCATTGGTTTGCTTTCACACAAAGAATTCCATCCAAACTGTGGATTGATTACACAATTCCATATGTCACTTTCCTGTGTGCAGGTTTGCAAAATGGACAGCACTGGCTTCATCTGTTTGTTGCTTTTTTATTACTTTCCTTGGACACAAACACTCAAGCGGTGAAGAACAGCACCGTTTTGTCCACAACAATCCTTTCCCTGCAATCACGAAACTTGAAAAGGAAAGAAACACGGTAAGTCGAAGCAGACGCCTAACAAAATGAACCAATCATGCAGCCCCACATGAGAGTGGAAAGCTTCCACACACACAGCAAACTGCACCAGAGTTCACTGGAAGTGAAACCCCAGACCACCAATTTTAGGAGAGCCAGAGATCGGTTCTCTGGACTGCTCTCGGGCTCAAAAACAGCTGTAATACTTGACCAAACTTAGCAAGCAGTCCTGTGTCTGTAAAAAAACTCTAGTGTGAAAAGCCCTTAAGCAAACACATCCTCTAAAGAGAACACATTTTAATGCACAATTATTGTTTATTTTTTGGATTTAACATAGAACATAAATAAGGTCTGTAAAAAAGTTACAGCACATTTTATTTTTTAGGCTTGATTGTTTTTTTTAAT